GATTTCTGATTTTCGATTTGTGCGATTTTCAGGGTAAAAATGTTGTCTTTGTGACGAACAATTCGATGAAATCGAGGAGGCAATACGCTGAAAAGTTCGGATCTTTGGGTCTCACTTCTGTTACTCAGGTTTATATATATATGATTGCAAATTTCCCACACTTCATTTCGGCTTTTGTGTTTTCTTGTGCTTATGATGGATTCCTTGAAAGAATGAGATATTCTCTTCGTCATTCGCTGCTGCTATGTACCTCAAAGTCAACAATTTCCCAAAGGACAAGAAGGTTCTTCTTCGACTTCTTTAACACATTGCCTTGGTCTAATAGTCTCTCCCTCCCTTACGTATCTGTGTCGTAATCTTTTTCGAACGTGCAGGTTTATGTGATTGGTGGAGAGGGCATTATTGAGGAGCTGAAGATTGCTGGATTTTCAGGTTTTGGTGGTCCTGTAAGTAGTTTTTTCCTTTAGGGTCAGCAACTTCAAGACTTGATATGTTTTTAAACTAGGCTCTTTGCGGATTGAATACGTTTGGATCATGTCATGTTTTGGTCACTTTTATGCTTGTAGAACATGTTAGATACTTTGGATTCCTCTGTTTATCTGAAGCAGTATTTTTGCTTCCATGCAGGAAGACGATGAAAAGAAGGCACAATGGAAATCAAACTCTCTCTTTGAACATGATAAAAGCGTAATGTGCCCATAAGTCTTTGCTTCTCTTTCTTCAGAAATAGAACCTTGCGTCTTCTTCTCTTTTTCTCAAGTTTCTAATGATGTATGTTTCTTCATGACTTCCTGTGCCAGGTGGGAGCAGTTGTGGTCGGACTAGATCCCAACATAAACTACTACAAGCTTCAGTAAGAGTAGATAACTATTGCATATGCATGTCCCTTGTCATAAATCGAGTTTCTGTGAGTTTAGGCTAACACAATAACGGAAATGGCAGGTATGGAACCCTCTGCGTACGCGAGAATCCGGGGTGTCTTTTCATTGCAACCAACCGTGATGCAGTAGGACATATGACGGATCTGCAAGAGTGGCCTGGTATAGGCTTCAGACTCTCTCAATAAGGGCTAAAGTGCCCAAAATAGCAGCTTGGTTTGTCACATCACCGAATTTTTACTCATAATTCTAGGTGCTGGTTGTATGGTTTCTGCAATGTGTGGATCAACCGATAGAGAACCAATAGTGGTCGGGAAACCATCGACTTTCATGATGGACTTTCTGCTACAAAAGTATGTTACATATGAAAGCGCGCACCCTGTAATGTAATCAGTTCATAGTGTGCAGAATAAAGAAGTGTATTTCCTTGTGTTGCAGATTTGGGACAGAAACATCAAGAATGTGCATGGTTGGTGATAGGCTAGATACTGATATCTTGTTTGGACAGAATGCTGGCTGCAAAACTCTCCTTGTCCTATCAGGTTATTACTATTGACTGTTGTCCAAACCAGTGCAAGTAAAATGTAGAGAATGTTTTAGTGAACTGAAACTGATTGATTGGGCTTGTCACTACAGGAGTAACAAGTGAAGAGAATCTACTAGAAGAGAGCAATAACATCAAACCAGATTATTACACAAGCATGGTTTCTGATATCATGAAACTCATGGAGTCCCCCTAGTAAGTTAAAGGGCATCATCATCATCTTGCTTTAGCCATGAAAGCAGTAATCAAATATCATGTTATCGGCAAGATGAAAAAAAAAATCTGATTTTTTTGGTTGTTTTTCTTGGTTAATAATCAAATCTTGATGATCAATTCATCATCAGAAAACTTGGCGTCCTGGCTTTTATGAATAAAAGGAGTTTGAATACATTTTTGTGAATGAAAGGATTTGAATGAGATTTCATGAAAAGTCTACTAAAAGTGACTTTGATACCTCTAAATACACAGGCTGGTTTCTCATGTCATAGATTAGCCTCTCTTTTTTTATAGTCTGCATGGTCCAGAGAAACATGTGATGCGTATTGATAATAGAAACTATAAATTGTTAATGGTCGTATCGAGGAACGAACACAGATCTCTTGAGTTTGAGTTTTTTTTTTTTTTCCTTTTAAAAAAGGTTCCAAGTTCCAAACGGCATGTGATGTGATTGTCAGCGAATATTCCGTTGATGCAAAAGTTTAATAAAACTAATCATAATGTAACTCATATCCTTTACTTTGGCTGTTTCTCTGCTCTCTGTCTATAATGAAACTCATATCCTCACTTTGATTTATTATCTTTTCTCAAGTAACCAAATAAATGAGGAAATAGAGTTTAAGTCCTCCTAATTTGCAGACTATAATGTAAAAGGGCATAGGAGGAACATAATGAGGAAATAGAGTACAAGTCCTAATTTGCTTTTAGCATGCCTTGTTTTCTCCTTTTTTGAGATTTTTCTTCTTAAACTCATTAATGACACAACAAGACCTACTTATAAACAGGTCTAATTGTCTGCATTAACATAATTTTATATCAATCATCAATTGTTTTTTTAATCGATTGAATAACAAAATTTATTATGGGAAATTGAGTTGAATAACCTAAAAATAATCTATAATCAAATCTCTAACCATTTAACCTAAATCTAAAGGCTACAATTAGACCACATATGTTAATTTTTGTTAGATTTCTAGTTATTTGATTTTTTTTGCTAATGAGCAAATTAACCCATTTATTATTACTAGTACTTTTTAAGAAATTCAGGAATCAAACAAAATTTATGTAGACACAAAGATTTGTGATCATTCAACTTTC